CAGGAGACTCGCTTGAGCCCAGGAGTTGGAGGTTGCTGTGAGCTGTGACACCACAGCACTCTACCCAGGGGGACAGCTTGAGGCTCTGTCTCAAAAAAAATAAAAAAATTAAAAAAAGACACTAAAAGCAATCATTTAATAAGTACAAGTTTTCCAAATAAGAGAAGTAAACATAAAATTGCCTTGAACTACATTACAAAAAGATTTCTCAACCTTGGCACTACTAACGTTGGGCCAAATCTTTGTTGGGGGGAGGGGGGCTGTTCTGCACATTGTAGGACATTTAGTAGCATCCTGGCCTCTCTGCACTACAAGCCAGTCAACACCCCATTAAATTGTGATGACCTAAAGTATCTCCAGACTTTGCCAGATGGTCCCTGGGGTAGGGAGTCAAACCCCAGGGAAGATACTTAGCCAGGACCTTGCCATACAACTAGTTTAAGAAAACTAAGGGCTCTGCGCCTGTGGCTCAAGTGGCTAAGGCGCCAGCCACATACACCTGAGCTGGTGGGTTCTAATCCAGCCCCACCCCCCCAAACAATGACAGCTGCAACCAAAAAATAGCCAGGCACTGTGGCAGGCGCCTGTAGTCCCAGCTACTTGGGAGACTGAGGCAGGAGAATCACTTGACCCCAGGAGTTGGAGGTTGCTGTGAGCTGTGATGGCACAGCACTCTACCCAGGGCGACAGCTTGACGCTCTGTCTCCAAAAAAAAAGAAAAAGAAAAAGAAAACTAAGGTCACTAACTTTGTGGAGTCATTAAAAAAAAAGTTTTAAGTAATGGCCTTCAACCAAAATAAGAAATCTTCATTACATCCTAAACTTCTAACTCCTTCCAAGCCTTTCTTAATACCCGCATGTGAGTGCAAAGACAGATACAATTTCTTTTCTCAAAAGTTGTCTTAGATTTTAGACGATAACGAGCAACTATTCCATAGCCTTTTTTTTTCTGAAGTAACAAACGAATACAATCTCGCACCATAGATTTGGAGAAAAATGTTTGTAAACACTAAAACCGGAGCTAGAGTTTGATTTTCGACTTATCGTTTAGGTGCTTTCTTCCTTTAGTTCATCTTATCAAAACATCCTTCCACACACTGTACTTTGAAGAAAGGAAGAGGAACCATACTCCCTTTAGATTAAAATAACAACGAAAATAGCGGCTCTCACGTTAGACTACATCCCTCGCTTCCACGGCCAAACCAGTCCAACCAGGCACAGAATGGACTATCAGATCCGCTACCTACGGGCTTATGAGGCCAGAATCTAGTCGCGAGGAGTATGACTCAGCAGGACCCAAGACACGAAGGCAAAACCCCGAACAAGCCCTTGAATCGGCAGCGCTAACTACGGGAAGCCCATTACCCTCCTTCCCTCCTGATCTCTCCGGAAAGATTCTGACCCTGAAGGGCACGGCCTACCGCGCTGAGGCCCAAGGCCCAGAGCCCTCCGGGAAGGTCTGGCAGTCCCCTACCTGGTGGCGGGCGGCCGTGGGGCCCCGGGAAGCTGCGGCTCCCACGAGACGCGCTGCTGCGGCTCTGCTGGCGCTTATCATGGCGGCTAGACCGAGGGGGTTCGAAGCAGCAAGCAAGCGCTCAGGCGGCCGGGAGCGGTACGACTCTGCGCTGGCAGCGCTTCTGGAAACCTCCAACCACGTGGGGTGAGGGGCGGGGGTTGGTCACCGCGGCCTAAAGGCCCGCTCTTTTCGCTGAGGCGCCGCCCTCGCCGCCTGACCAGAGACAACAGGACTGACGCTCCTGGAGTCAGTGCGTACCGATATTGTGCTTTGTGGCACGATTTTTGGAAAAATCCTGTTCTCCCCTTCCAGCCACAGCGGCTCTGGGCTCAGTGAGAGCCGACAAGAGGAAGAGGCGTATGAAGGCAGCATCTCAGACAGCCCTGGTCCTCCAAGGCAGGAAACACTCAAGGTCACACGGGATAAATAGCGAACCGATTACAGTCTCCTTGCGTCAGTTGCGCGGAAGGAGGAGACTGTTGAATCTGCGTACCTAGCTTCCGGCTAAGAGCCTGAGGCACATGCGCACAGGGAGGGGTGGAAACGGTTGTGATTAATAAAAGCGTTCATTGGACGTCCCCCTACGCACGCGCATTTGGCCTGAGTGGCGCCCGGAAAGGGTTCGGGCGCGTGCACACTTCGCGAGTGCGGATATTTTCTATGTTCCCTCTCATCGGGAAGGGCGCCATTTTGTCCTGTCGTTTTGTTAATTGTAATCATTGTTGCTCCGTCACCCCATTTTCTTGACAACTTTAAATACGTCTGGGAATTCAGAGCTTACACAAATTGGTGTCATGTTTTACCATAGGAAAAGCAGCATCTTGTTCTTACAGAGTAGTTAGTCCCGTTAGACTAATTACTGTGGGAACCATCAAGGGAAAATTCATGAGCTCAAGGCTCTTCTCTTCCCTGCTGTGCTGGGCCTGAGGTCGGTCTGGCCCTTTTCAAACTGCTGGTTACAAAGGTGTCAGTTACTGCTATGTCCGGTGACCAGTTTCAAGATTTTTAAGAAAAGGAATGAATTTATTGATTAAACAGACTTACTGGCTTATCTACCAGGTGTTAAATACTCAATGGGAATATAGGAAAATCAAAATATGCAGAACGCGCTGAAGAGAGGGATTACAGTGAGACTGAACTTGATTTGAAGGTAAATCTATTTATTTATTTAGACGAAGCCTCAAGCTGTCGCCCTGGGTAGAGTGCTGTGGCATCACAGGTCACAGCAACCTCCAACTTAACGGGCTCAAGCGAGTCTCTTGCCCCAGCCTCCCAAGTCGCTGGGACTACAGGCGCCCACCACAACGCCAGGCTATTTTTTGGTTGTAGCCATCATTGTTGTTTGGCGGGCCCGGGCTGGATTCGAATCTGCCACCTTAGGTGTATGTGGCTGGTGCCTTAGCCGCTTGAGTCACAGGCGCCAAGCCGGTAAAGCAATTTATTTGTCCTTCGAATGCAATCATATTTTAAGTCACTGCAGCCTCAAACTCCTGGGCTCAAGGGATCCTCCGCCTCAGCTTCCCAGGGAGCTGGAACTACAGCATGGGGTCTGGCTAATGGGAGGGCCAGTCGTGTCTTTTTCGTGCTTCATCTCTTCCTTAAGCAATCCTCCCCCATCATTCACCCCAAGTGCGAAGATTACAGGTGTCAGCCACCATCCGGGAAGTCCTCTCTTCAAAGAAACACATGCCTCAGACCAGGCGTGGTAATTTGTGCCTGTAATCGTAGCACTGCAAGAGGCTGAGACAGTAGGAGGTTAGGAGTTGGAGACCCCAGCCTGAGTAAGAGCCAGATGTAGTGGCCGGCTTCTGTAGTCCCAACTACTGGGGAGGCTGAAGCAGGAGGATCTCTTGAACCTGGAGGTTTGAGGTTGCCGTGAGCTAGGCTGACTTCACTGCACACTAGCCTGGTCACTGTAATCCTGGGAGGCCTAGGCAGGCAGATTGCTTGAGCTCAGGAGTTCAAGACCAGCCTAAGCAAGTAGGGGATCCATCTCCACTAAGAATGAAAAAACTGAGGCAAGAGTATCACTTGAGCCCAGGAGTTTGAGGTTGCTGTGAGCTATGAACTCGCTGCACTCTACTGAGGGCTACAGACTCTATCTCAAAAAAAAAAAAAAAAGGGTGGTGCCTGTAGCTCAATGGGTAGAGTGCCGGCCACATACACTCAGGCTGGAGGTTTGAATCTGGCCCACGCCAGCTAAACAAAATGACAACTGCAACAAAAAAATGGCTGGGAGTTGTGGCAGGCGTCTGCAGTCCCAGCTACTTGGGAGGCTAAGGCAAGAGAATGGCTTGGGCCCTAGAGTTTGGGGTTGCTGTGAGCTGTGGCACTACAGCACTCTACCCAGGGTGACATACTGAGACTGTCTCCCGGGGAAAAAAAGTCAGTATTAAGTAAATCACCACTGTGGGAGGAATTTTGAAGGAGATGTAGGGGGACATTGGGGAGGGAAAAAGGTAATTGACTTTACATTCTGATGGGGATGGAAGTGGGAGTAAACATAAAAGTCGAATGTAACATTGGTTATAGATCAGGTAGAGTCTGAAAGTTTAAAAAAAGCCTCTCACACACTATTCCTTAAGTGTTAGCCTTATTATATTATCCTCATTAGTCTACTTAATAATCTTTAGTTCTCTTTAATTCCCTCAGTGGTAGGCTTTCCTAAGGCCATCAAAATTACAGGCTCATGACTCCTACTTGCAGAGATTTATATTCTGAAACAATATGCTGATACAAAAGAAGATAGAATGACACTATTAAACATTAAAGCAAAATAGAAACAGAAAACATTGCATCCTTACGTACATGACGGGGGTGGTGTGGTATAGGGTGGGGAGGGCAGGTAAAAATAGAGTAACTGAATTCTCACTTCTCTTTCCTCTCAACTGGTTCAGAGTTTGGTTTTCTTCTTGCTCCATGTAATAAAAAGGCAGAAAGGGTGGCGCCTGTGGCTCAAGGAGTAGGGTGCTGGCCCCACATATTGGTTCAAACCCAGCCCCAGCCAAAAACTGCAAAAAAAATAAAATAAAAAGCCAGAAAATGTTAATCAAAGGAATCCTGGAGTCAAATAATGTTAGTTAAAGGGTTTGTTAGATGACCATTTTATGATTGACGTTCCTGGTAGTTTCCTAAGGCAAATTGCAAATACTCAGCATGACCACAAGGGGTGTGTGGTATCCCTAGATACTCAAAGCTTGAGTCTGAGCATGGGCGTTTTATATATTAATAGTATTTCCAGTGTCAAAGAGGACAAATTTCTGGACTGCTTTGCAAATTGACATGTATTACAACCTGACAGTGCAAATTTAAAACCTAAATCTAAAAATATGAAGGGATTCAGTTCGATCCACAGCCAAGTAGCATAATGCTTCAATATACAGCACAGTATTGTATTTCATTTCTCTGTTGTCATCTCGGTGTCACATTGGGAAATGGAAAGAACTGGTGCATAATTTGGTTTTGTGTTTACCAAACACACCAGGTGGCTGGCTGCCCAATCCCTGTACATTTTATACCGTGCTCACACACATATATACACACACACAAGGTAGGACAATTAAGTTCAAGAACTCATCCTAGAAAAAATGCTACATAGATCATTGCCAAACATCACTATGGTCACCTTTGAAGTACTTGTCTTGGCCATCCACTGACTGTAGTGATACTCAGCAATGAGGTATGTAGCACTTTTTCTAAGATGAGTTCTTGAACTTAATTGTCTTGCCTTGTGTGTATGTGCGTATATATAGAAAGAGATGGAGTCTTGCTATGTTGCCCTGGCTGGTCTCAAACTCTCAAACTCCTGGGCTGAAACCATCTTCCAGCTTCAGCCTTTCTAGAAGTGTGTGCCACTATACTCAGGGCCTTATTTTTTAATAATATTATAACTGGCATGATTATTATTTTAGCATATTTAAAAACAGGTAACTAGGTTCAACTTTGAAGTGTTTAACTCCTAGTCATTTGTAAGAGTTGTCATTAGAATAGTAATTCCTAATAGCTGTTGAGTGTTCACTTAACACTGTCCTAAGTGCTCTATTTATAGATTATCTGGCATGCTCACAATGGTCTCAGATAAATACTATTGGTATTCCCATTTTGCCAGTATGGAAACTGAGGCTTAGAGTGGTTAAGCAGGGTCACATAGCAATAGAATGGTAAAGTTAGAATTTGAAGCCAGACTAACTCCAGAACCTACACTGCTAACCACTAGGCTCTGCCACCTCATAACTAAACTGGGTCATTTACCTCAACTTTCACATATCCAACAGATGTGTTTTGTAATACTGGCCCAATCCACTATTAATTATTTTAGGCAACTCAATTAAAAAGTTAGAAATACAGTAGAACAATCTATAAGTTGCCTCTGGAAGAAGGCAGTCAAAATAGGGAACTAGGCCTGCTATAAAGATCTACACTTGTGGTACATGTCTGGTCTGTGAAAATTGGGTCAATTTAAGGTGGCCGGCCATGTGCAGTGGCTCACGCCTGTAATCCTAGTACTCTGAGAGGCCGAGGCAGGTAGATTGCTTAGCTCGTGAGTTCAAGACCAGCCCAAGCAAAATTGAGACCCTGTCTCTATTAAAAATAGAAAAATTGAGGCAAGAGAATCACGAGCCCAAATTGGATGTTGGAGGTTGCTGTGAGCTATTATGCTATGGCACTCTACCCAGGGTGACAGCTTGAGACTCTGTCTCAAAAAAAAAAAAAAGGTGGTGGTCAATGTGGTCAACTACGTTACTTTAAAGTTTTTTAGTATTATTTAGGTTTCAGGATAACTATGAAGGTCAATCTATAATATAATGTCCAGTATCAAATTTATATATTTAAGTGAAGTCTCTTTAAACTGGTGACTCAGAAGATGTTTTATTCAATTTCCCCAAAGATGAATAGCTTGCTGTGGCACCTTCCATCTTCAGGAAATAAAAATATGGCATACTGCAGGGATTTGTCACTTTTGTTCTCTTTGGAATTTTTCATGTACCTGCAGCAGATTTCAGGAGACAGGTCTCACTTTTCTTCACTATATTGAAGTATATTACACAGTGTCACTTATACTTACACTGTCACTTATACCTCAGCCTGTTTCAAAGGAGTTGCCCTAGTAAAGTGTAGGAAGTATTATGTCAGGTGATATCCCTGTCCTCAGGAGGGGTGACAGCAAGTTTCATTCTATGTT